TATATATAATCCAACCAAAAGTCCATCCAAGCCGAGGCCCAATTAGTTAATGTTAGCTATCAATTCTTTTATGTAATACAAGTTAGTCCCTTTCTTCCTTATCCCCTAATTTTGACCCTCCAACTTTTATTCAAGTGAGATTTAGTCCTCAAACTTCCATTTAATAGTCAATTGATCCTCTTTCTTTTCCAATTGCTTTGAAATGGCTCCAACATTGAAATAACAGAAAATCACCATAAGTTAAGTAAAATTTAACACTTTAACGACATAAAAGCTTAGTAATATGGTCCGAATAAGTGCACAAATTGCACTTATCACATGCCATAACCCAAATTGTGATCTTCTAAAGCATCATGTTCAGAATTTGGGTAGGTAAGCCATAAATTTGAATTTTTTTATCCTAAATTAGAAAACCGAACATCATACTCATTTGCATCTCTAGTTAACTAAGACCACTAATTTTAGCTTAAGTGTTACAAAAAATCATGACTTCATGAACTGATTTTTTGCTATTGAAGCCACGAGATCCATTGTTAATGATAGTCACCAACAAGAATTCAGACTGACATTCCAATGCTATTTGGAAGGTCGCTGAAAGTTAAAGGTGGAACTTCTGTTGTTGGAATATATGCAAGTTCAACAGATCAGCAGATTCCCTTCTCCAGCTCAGCACAGCAGATCACGTTCAACATCTCTTCTTCTAGATTCTAACTTCTTAAAGTTCCTTCTTTAGTTTGTTAGATTAGTTTGTTACACCGGCTGAATTAGTCTATAAATAGATTAATGTACTCAAAGTATTACTTGAGTTTTTGATGAATAATAAGTGTTCTGCATGTTTTCCTTCATCAAGTTCCTTCAATATATTCCATATTGAATCTATCTTTTATTTTCTTAACATGGTATCAGAGCTCTTTGTGCTTCCACAGTCTACTTCTCTAATTCTCGATCATCATCTGTTCTGTTGAATCTGCAGTAATGGATTCGGTAAAATCAGGATTAAGATCGTATGCCATAGGACTCGAATAAGCTGGAAGACTGCTGAGTTATTGATGCTTGCTGAATAAACTGCTGAATCCTGTGCTGGCAGCAACCAACTGGAATTTTAATGCATTCTCCTCTTCCAACCTCTTCCTGAATTGATTCTTCCAGCCTCTGTTCTTCAACCACCCTTCAAGGTATTCGATAAAAGTTCTCACTGGCTAGAGGCTTGGAGATTGCACAGGTGTTTGGCATTTTCAATTTTCATTTCACTCATCAATGGTGATGATGTCTTCAGCAAATCCCCGATTCAGAGCCATGGATGCTCTTTTATTCCAGTTTTATGTTACTGCTTTTTTTTCTCTAGAATGCTTCTCTGCTGGCATGTTCCCAGCATCTTCTCCAGCTCATCTTCAGGCTGCCTTCTTCCAACAGGTTCTCTCTACAATTCAAGATGTTATATCTTGAGGGGGGATGTTGGAATATATGCAAGTTCAACACATCAGCAGATTCCCTTCTCCAGCTCAGCACACCAGATCACGTCCAGTAGCTCTTCTTCCAGATTGTAGCTTCTTCAAGTTCCTTCTTTAGTTTGTTA